GGGTGTATTTAAAGAAAATGACCTTCCATAGACTGCTGAAGCTGTTTGGGAAATTCATTGCGACTTTCTGGTGTCTGATAAATGAAAATTTCTGCAGGAAAATATTGTGTGTTTGTAAATTGTGAACATGTAACTGTCAACAGCTGAGGACTTGCATGGCAACTCTAGAAAAATCAGTGTTTGTAAAAACAGCTTAGGCCTTTACCTCATTCACAAATTCCTGATTGTTTGACTTTAGATTCATCCTGTCCTGGAGTGGAAGGAATATTAAGAGTGCAATCTACAGAGAGAAAAGTGGATGAAAGAGGCAAATGGAAAGGACAAAAGATGAGAGGAAATTAGGGACTTTGCTGTTAGCCACCTGAAAAAGCACCTTGGTTCATATGCTGATGTCTGGCATTTTAAGGCCTTACTATTTGCTGTGAGGTTTTGAACCTGGATCCAGAACATCTTGGAGCTGCTTCCCCCTGAGGAATGTCAGGGTGTCTTGTCAGACCCAAATTTTTAAAATATTCCAGTATTTCAAAAACACAGTGTTGTAGGCTCAGCCCAGGAGTGTGCTGTGGAGAGGACTGACTGCTACTGCTTAATATTGGCTTTAGGCTTCTCTTTTTGAATATAAAAGATAATGGTGAGTTAAGAAGTTACATCTCTACTACCTTTAAAGTTTCACTAAGATTTTTAATGGGTTTTGTCATCTAGCTTGAGTTTGATTATTCAGAATTAAGCTTAAGTGTTAAGGTTGAGATTAGTCTAAAAGAAATGCAAACTTGGCAGTTTTTTTCACCCGTTGCTATTTTGAATTACAGTCCACTGAGGTGTAAATATCCAATATATACTGATATTTTGTACAATTCATCTGGATACCTCCCAACTTCTTTATTTATCATAATGAAAACCAACCTGAATTAACCAGTTTTTAAAAGTGCTTTTAAAAATGTTTACATTTTCAAGTACTGGACTGCAGAGCTTCCCCATGTCCTTCCTTGTTTTCTCATTGCAGGGAACAACATCTCAGTGAATATAGAGGTAGATCCTCGCCATCCAAACATGCTTCCGGAGTGTTACTTCCTTGGAGCAGATCATGGTAAGGCAGCAAACTCCAGCTGTTTCTCCTCTGGAACTGGATCTCCAAGCCAACTCCTACCTGAAACCTGGGAGGTTGACTGGGCTGTGGGAGCAAAGGGCCCCCTAAAGCTGACATAATTGTTCCTGTCCCTTGTTTGCAGCAGTGAACCCTTTGAGAACGAAGCTCAACAACACCATGCACTTGTGGTAAGCATCTTAATAATACAGGTTTGAAACTGAAATGGTGTTTGCCATTCCTGGTGTGGATGTTTTTCTCCCTCTCTGCCCCTCACAGGGATCCAGATACCAGTTTACTACAAAACTTGAAAGACCTCCTGGAAATTGATTTTCCATCTCGTGCTGTGTTAGAAAAAAGCGTAAGTTGCAGTTCACTAATGATCAGTCCTTATTTCTGAATAAGGAACATTTAAATGGTCATTTCATAACAGCCAGAAAAATAAGGGACTTAGAAGAGAGGTAATTGGATTAATATATTGTCACAAGGACCTCTGAACTTGAAGCAACAGTTGTCAGAGCTTGTTAACCTTTGATTAGAGGTGCACACTTCCCTGTGGCCTGCATAGCAGTGAGGCCATTAATAACAGGCTTCAC